CGAACCCAACCGCGAACCCAACCGCGAACCCAACCGCGAACCCAACCGCGAACCCAACCGCGAACCCAACCGCGAACCCAACCGCGAACCCAACCCAAGCCTAAACAAGCAATTCGTAACCGCAATACACTACCCTAAACAAGCAATTCGCAACCGCAATCCACAATTCTAAACAAGCAATTCGCTACCGCAACCCGCAATACACAAACCTAAACAAGCAATTCGCAATCGCAATACACAATAGACAACTCTAAACAAGCAGTGACATGGTTATCAGCTGGACTGAGCATTCGTACTGAACATAGTTCCCGTGTAAAAGAGTGATGCCAATAGATTAGGCAACCAACAGTGACCACTGTAGGCAAAAGCAACCGGCCACACGGTAAGGTTAATGCTATTGCGGGGCTGATAAATGGGCAAATAAGAAAAATCTATTTTAGTAAGAGCGCTTTCTTATGGCGCGGCCCGGCTTTTGCCTACAATGGCAAATGCTGGTTGCATACCCTACTGGCATCACCATATATATACTATCTTCTATATCGCTGACTCCCTATCTAAGCAATGAGTGGCGAGCGTTTCCATCAAAAGAAGACGGAATGATATATGTTTTGTCTTTGTCGTACCCCGGTGTCGTGAAAGCGCTAGCGCGAATCGTAAATTTTAAAGAGTGTGAAGTGTTTCGCNTATTATAGGTTTCATGTGTATAATAACATAATTATTAACATATTTTAGGACTAAGCAATTTAAAATGTAATTGTTATTTGTTAAGAAAGTGAAGCAAATGTGTTAAAAGTAAAATAAAAAAGAAAAAGAGTAGTGGAGATATTTTTGGGTCCTAAAAATTGGTTGAGCAGGTAGAAGGAAAGGTCTCAGTGTAATAAAAAAGAATTCAAAGTCCTCCTTTTCTTGAAACATTTTTCTTTATAAACATTTAGAGTACATATACTCTAATTTATTTGATGCATCAGTGATAATTTATAGTTAAAGTAAACCATCTATAATAATAATTGCATTTTAAAGCTGCATAAAATACGCGCGAAACACTTCAAACTCTTTAAAATTTACGATTCGCGCTAGCGCTTTCGCGACACGGGGGTACGACAAAGACAAAACATATATCATTCCGTCTTCTTTTGATGGAAACGCTCGCCACTCATTGCTTAGATAGGGAGTCAGCGATATAGAAGATAGTATATATATGAGTGATGCCAATAGATTAGGCAACCAACAATGACCATTGGAGGCAGAAGCGACCGGCCACACAGCAAGGTTAATGCTGATAAATGCGCAAATAAGAAAAATCTCTATATTTAAAATCCATTTCTTGTTGACGACATTTCAATGCATAATAATTCGAAGCAAACGTGAAGAATATAATTACATTACTTAAATGTTGTAACTAACAATAAAAGTGTACTATCGTAATAATTATACTGTGATTACATTTTGTGATTACACTGCTGGCATCACTTTATTCGGTGAACACGCAGTCCAGTGTTGATAACCATGTCACTGTAAACAAGCAATTCGCTACCGCAACCCACCATACACAAGCCTAAACAAGCAATTCGCAACCGCAACCGGCTATACAACCCTAAACAAGCAATTCGCAACCAGAATGCGCAATACAAAACCCTAAACAATCTTCATAATCACATAACGAAACAATGCTAAAGAAAAACTTCATAAAAGATTAATGCAACGGTTTTATTTGCAAATTTTTATACACACAATAATGATGAAGCAAAATTAAATGGAATCATTAACAAACAAAAATTTATTTAAAAATAGGTACTTTTTTGGCACATTGTGCTCAAACTACAAGTTCCTTTAAGAAATACCTATCATGAAATCTATAGTAAATCAGCTTATATAGAAAATACAAACACATTAAAAAAAAAATATTAATTTTATCATCATAATTACAAAATATGTGGTATGTTTAAATGTTTTTTAACCTAATTGTTTTATACTTGGACAAGAAACACTAAAATAAAAATTAGAGAACAAAAATGTTTTAACTTAGTATCTTCCACTCCGTCCTGAACGATGTCTTGGTGACCTGGAACGTCGCTCCCGCGAACGTGATCTCCTTCTTGGAGACCTAGATCGTGATCTCCTTCTGCTCGCCTTCCTCCGTGAGTACAAATAACGCCTTAATTCCCTTGATATTGGCTTTAAATGCATAAAATTACAAAAACCCGATCTTGTACACTCTCCCATTTCATATTGGCGACAACAAGCTTCTCTAAAATCAGTCACAGGACTTAATTCGGCATAAACAGGACGACCACCAAACCAACGATTGTTTAAATCGCTTACAGCTCTTTCTGCATCTTCTTCTCGCCGAAACTAAACATTTATTAAACAAAATATGCATGTAAATATTAAGCTTTATGATTATTGAAACAATATTACTTTGATGTAAACATTTCCGACTAAATGGTCCCCTAAATTATCGCAAACATTCATCTCTTCAATCTCCCCATATTTATCTTCACATTCCACAAAAACATCTTCAAAGAAATTATCGTAATGTTCCTGCATTTCTTCATCAGAAACATTAGCAACCACTGAAAAAAAATTAGCAATAAGTTATAGAATTAGTTAAGAAATGAGGTTGCTTACAATGGCTTCCGTCAGCAGATTTTGCTGAATTTTGTGGGTTTACATATAAATTTTGCAATAAACATGTTTGAGAGAAGGTTGGTTTGTTATGAATTCGAGAGCATCGATCGCCGTGTCGACAAGCGCCGATCTTAAAGTAAAAGGAGCAATTTACCCTAAAAAAAAATTGGAGGTTATGTTTACATATTAATGTTTACTAGAAAAAAAATTAAGGTATTTAGGAAAGACTATAGGTTTATTTACTTACTTGTCTTTTTCGGTACCAAAAATTGAAGCTAAATACTCAGCCATCGTCTAATTACAGGAAAAATTAGTTAAGAAAGTTATAAATAAACACCGACAAAAATGTAATGGCGTGGATTGACAGTTTATATAATGAAGTTAGTTAGGAATGAGTTGAAAACGGTACCGGTTTAAATCCTTTAGATATCTAAAATTCATTGTTTATAATTACATATAATATAGCGTAATAAGAAATTAATACGAAAAAAATACAGTCTAAAAATTTATAATAAATTATGAAAAGTCAAAGCCAGCAAGTAATACCAACCTAATATGTGTTTTGTAAATAAAAGTTAAAAAACTCCCAAAATGTCTGTAGTTGATGCAAATTCCTTATTAAAATTTTCAAATTCGCAGGATTTATTACAGGTAAAATTCAATCAAATACATAATATATAACCTTCTAAGCATTTTAACTTCAAAATAAATTATAGTTTCTTCATTTCTGTATTGATGAGATGGTAGGAAAAAGTAAAATCTCCATGGATAGCTTTAATAATGAAATAGAACTCACAAAAGATGAGTTAAAAAAAACTAAAAATTACGTTCAAGTTCTTTTTACAAACTTGGCTCATCATAAGGATTTTAAGATCGATTTACAAGATAGTATTCAGGAAGCCATTCGAAACTGTTTTACGATAAGAAAAGAGGATATTGAAAACCATGTTAAATATGAAAATATCGTAAATTCAGGCTTGTTATTGGTTGAAAACTTTGATTGGAAGTTAAAATGGGTGATTGGAAGCTCAAGTTTTGCTACCCTATGTGAACCTTTGGTTCAAATTGATTTTAATTGTGGTGGGAATGGTAATATCAAAGAAAATGTAAATTTTGAAATGACTTTTGAACAAGTTGAAAGAATGATTGAAGAATTGGAAATGATGAAAACCAAAATTAAATAAATTTGGATTGAATTGGTGCTTTATTAATGTTTATTTAATATATATATATTGTTAACACATCCTTTGATAGGTCAATAATAAATCGTTTGTATTCGAAAACAAACTTTATTTTTATTCTCTTTTTACGCTCAACTATATAATATCTACCACAGTCCAGGTGCTTCATTTATATGTATTATATTTTAGGCTATTTTCTGCTGCCACTTTTGACATTTTGTGAAAACTTGTTTATGCCCGATTCAAATTGATCCAGAAGCATTCCAACGCTAGAATGCTACTGGAACAATGTGAACCGGCACTGGAATGTACTCATTCCAGTAAGCAATCCACTCCAGTGACTGGATCGACGGTCTACTTTTTCATTCCAGCGCCACTGAAATAAAGTGGACCGTTCCTCCAGTGCTTAAGATTGCGAATTCTTAACGAATCGATTAAGAATCCACTGGACTGGATTGACTCGCTGGAATACTGGACTGGAATAATGTGAACCAGGTATTAGACTATTACAAATTAAACATATGTATTAATTGAATGGTATTAAAAAAATAAAAGTCAATTTTTATAGGAAACACCCTAAGTGTATTTTATTATTATATATTTATAAACACATTCACACTTACAATGAAGTTGCATTTACGAGAACACAGCCTTTTTGATAAGTCGATAGGGGATAACAGTACGAAATATCAAAGAAGAGCTGCGTAGAGCGTAGTTATGAGGACCATGACCGGTTTTTTTTTAAGTATTTTCCTAATTATTGATTAGTATTTTTGAATGTTTCAAATGTTGTGTTATACTAGGTCCTCAAAACTACATTCCATCACTTACAACTATTTTTTTTTTTTTAATTTCTTGTAATAATAATTGCTAATAGCGCTTAAACTTTTATTTTTTCGTTACATCAAGTAGAGAAAGATATTTTTGTATTATTTACTTTCATCATAATTTTTGCCGTTTTGAATATTTTCGTTGTAAAATAATGTACAAATTGAAAAAAATTGGGTACCAACTATACATTTATAATTTATTAATTAAGAAAACTTTAATTTGACTGAACCGTTATTGTTGTTTTTATTTATATAGATGGAAAATGAAAAGAAAGCGATAAAATAACAACAATAATGATTCCGCCTGCATGCTGAATTCTCTTTAAAATTTAAATCAAATCACACCGTATTACTATTTCTTTTAATAATAAAATATTTAAGATAGATGAATAACTATTTCTACACATGTATAACTTACTAAAAAAAGAACTCTTAATAATAAAACGTAGCGTATTATTTTATACATAACATGTAAGCAAGTAAGTTTAATAAAAAAGTCGTTAGGCCACTGTTTCTTTTTTGAATTGATCGTAGGTATTGAGATATAATAAATTATTTGCGAATCTTGTTTACTAATTATTTTAGGTATAAATTTTTTATGGCACTTTAGATGTTTTTTATCAAACATACTTTACAAACCATCATCATAAAATGAAATGAAAAGATGTTTAGATAATAAATTTTAAATTCTATAACATTTTTCAGTTTTCAAGATACAAAAATTATATTTTTTTTCAATTTTGATTTATTTTAGTTTTGATGATGGATTGCTACACAATATTTTATTCTTTTTTTAATCGTATCTTGTGTGTATAAAATGAAATTATCCCAATGAAGCTCATCTATATTATTAAAAAAGTGGGAATTAAAACAAAACGTGAAAAACACTACACTCTAACATTAGACACTAACTTTAATTATTTTTTACAATTGTATACGTATTTTTTTAGTATAAAAGAAGATTAAGGGTGAGTCAAAAAAACTCCTTCCCAGTATAATATAAAAATTGTCCAAATATTTCTTTAATTTTGCTTTTTTTTTACTCAACACAAAGATTTTTTTTAATTTTAAGGAGAGTATTTCAACTATAAAAATGTTTTCACGTTGGACCTATTTGATACTCATCACCATAACATCATTATCAACCAATCTGGAGACATGTAAATAATTATAATAATAAAAAACATGATCTAAATTTGTTTCTTTTTTCCAAGTCCTTTTTAAATGTAGAGTAATAAATTGGCAGTTTTGGCGTTTAATTTTGGTCAAACGGTGACACTGCCCGGAATGCTCCGGATTTGTATTTTTATTACATTATTTTTTGTCTCTAACACGTTTCGTTCGGTTTCTAAACACAGAAAAAAGTTCATTTATATGTATACAGAAGAACGTTTGCATGATGTTTGTTTTTCATGGTTTTATTCTTCTGCTGCCACTGGAGTCGCTTGCTGGAAATTAAATGATTTTATTATCAATTTCATTGTATTATTCAAATAAATATAGAATGCTTGTTTTATTAATATGCACTTTTATGATTAAGTTTAAAATAATATAGACTATTGTATTTAGATATTTATTAGTGACATGGATGAGGGAAGAGGGAAAAATTAAAGTTCCTAAAATATTTACTGCATTACCCATTAAGGTTACAACAAAATTATTATGATTATTTTTATTTAAGTTTATTACTGAGTGGTTGTACTTATTTAGAATTGGATAAAATAAATTAATACTTCAAAAGAAAAAAAAATATAGGAATAAAATCATCACTTTATTTCTCAAAAAAAGTAAACTTTGTAATACATAATTTAATTTTACACAGAGAGTATTGATAATTCATGAAAATATGAAAAATGAAATAAAAAAAAAACGAAACTAAATCATAAAAATTGACGACAAATTTATTAATAATTTTCTTAATCTAGGAATGCAAAAAAACACTTTAAAAAATTATACAAATAATAGAATATAAATATTTTGTGATTAAATGAAACTTTTCTTATTTCTTTTTTTTTTTTCTTTTTTTTAATCTTTCTTAACTTTTATGTTTCGATAATAGATGCGTTTATAATATTATTATTAAAATAAATCGTGTAATATGTGCGTAATTATTGTTTTTTTTTTTTTTTTCGTTTATGTAAGTAAATTGTAATTTATTCAACTTACTTCAGCTGCTTTGTCTCCATTTTCAGCCGCTGTGACTGGTTCAGGAATAGTGGCAACCTGAAAATAAACTCATATAATATCTACATTTATGTTAATTTTCTGAAAGTAAAATAAAACAACTTTCCTAAAAAAACCCATGTATTAATCAATTAATAAATGTTGTTTAGCATGAACTTGGCATTAACATGTTAGGAGAAGTATTAAGGGGGGAAAAGCATTAAAAACCACCGGAAAAAAAATTGTGGACAAAAAATTTTTTTACTGTGACATTCACGCCTTTTAACTTATAAGAAAAAATACAAATCAATACAGCACACACACACAAAAGCTCCAAAAATTAAACACAAAATAGGTTAATATCCACTGAAAAACACACACAAATAAACAAGTTTTTTTTTCAGTTTTGGGAGAGAAAGAGTCCAATAATATTTTTCGTCATCATCAAGGAATAAAGGTTTTTTTTGTATTAGGAGAGAAATTAAGAAGTTTTTTTTTTTTAATTTTTTGGGTTAATAATTAAAAAATCCAAGAGACATCCGGTATTTTGTTTGTTTTTATTGCGTTATTCACCTGTTTCAGTGATCCGGTCGCGGCAACCTGACTTTCAGCGGGAGGACTCGGTGAAGGCAATCCGTTTGTGTTTCCGTTGGTGAGAGGAGCGGCTTCGTTCTGTTCCTGTTTGGCGACGACAGGGGACTCGGATGATTGTGGAGATTTTACTGGGGATTCCGCGGGACTTTCTTTGGGAAGTTCAGGAACGGGTGTCGAAGAAATTGAAGCGTCGGTGGCAATCGGTTCCGGGATTGTGTCTACGGGAGGCAGAGACATTGGCGGTAATGTTTCAGACATAGGTTCTGGCAAAGACGGCAGAGATTCTGTTGAGACATCTTGTAATGAATCTGCGTTACCAACCGGTTCTGGTGTTGGTACACTATCTGGCACGGGGGGTAACGAAGTTGGTTCTTCCGATACCAATGTTTCAGCTACCGCTGCTACAGGACTTGGAGGTGGAAGACTACAAGATTCAGAAATTGGTTCTGGAGTTTCAGTCTTTTCTACTTGTGGTGCCGCTTCTTCTTTGGTTGCTGTTGGTTGTGGTGCTTCAGTCTTTTGGACATCTTCGGGTTTTTGTAATTCTTGTTTTTCTTCTGGTTTTAATTGTTCTGGTTCAGCTGCCGGTGGTGTATCAGTCTTTTCGGTAGTCTCAGCTTTTGCAGGATCAGCTTCAACTGGTTGTTCTACAACAACTGGAGCTTTTTCAGCCTCAGCTGGCTGTTTTTCAGTTTCAAATGAAACTTTTTCGGGTTCTGCTAGAAGCTTTTCTGCTTCTACAGGAACTTTTTCTCCTTCAGCAATTGGAGCATTTTCAGCTACAACTGGAGCATTTGCTGTTTCAACCGGAGCTTTTTCTGGTTCAGCTGGAGCTTTTTCTGTTTCCACTGGACACTTTTCAGCTTCAACTGAAGGTTTTTCGGCCTCAACCGCTGGTTTTTCTTCAACTATTAGTTGTTTCTCCTCTTCTTTCATTGGAAGATCTTCTTTTGAAGCCGGTTGTGTTTCTAGTTTGGGCTCTTCAGCTTTTTGTTCTTCCGGTTTGATTTGTTCAGTAATAGGAACTTTTTCTTCTGGAGCAGGAACTGTTTTCTCTTCGACAATCGGCGCCTTCTCTTCTACAACAGCAGTTGGAGCAGCTTCCAGCGCTGCTTCAACGTTTGGAGCATTTTCGGCTTTCGGAACATCCTCAACTTTTGCAGGTTCCTCGGTTTTAGTTTCGTCGGCTTTAATTTCTTCTGTTTTAGCTTCCACTTTTGTCTCTGCCTGGGGGGTTATTTCAGATTTTAGGGAACTTTCGGTTGCCGTTTCGGTTTGTTTGGGGGTGGACTCAACAGGGGGTTGTTGTTCCGTTACCGGAACAACGTCGGCCTTGGTGGATTCAGCGAACACCATCACCGGGTTGGGGGGATTGGAAGCGGGCAATGGCGGGGGGATTTCTTCATTACGCACCTCTTTAGGGATTTCCTCGGCAGCTGGTGTGGGGGCGGCTTCCGGTGCCGCCGGCGTTTCTTCCTTGGCTACAGCCGGTTCTTCTTTCTTTTCTTCAACTGCAGGAGCTGATGCTTCCTCTTTTGGAGTTTCTTCGACTTTCTTTTCTTCGACAACTTCTTCCTTCTTTACCTCATCGGTTTTGGCAACTTCTTCAGCGGTTGCATCGCCGTTTGCCACCGCTGGCGGTGCTGCTGCTGCTTCCGCAGCAGGAGCGGCAGATTCTTCTACCGGTTTCTTTTCAACTTCTTTTGGAGCATCTCCGGATGGAGTTGTGGCGGTTGTATCTGCTGCCTGTAACAAAATAAAAAGAAATTATTAAAAACAAGTAATTTAAATAAAACAACATTTTTTTATAGCAATAATTTTTCGGTTCTCTTGAAGTCCAGACTCCCAAAACAAACGTATGCTATCCAAAATGACGATAAAAAGCGGAAAAATTGATTGTAATTCCGTGCGAGATTTTAAAGATCCATGACCGAGCTATTACGAGGGGTCAAGAACTCAGAATGAATGAAACGGCCGTTTATAGAGCGAATGGAACGTTGTTATAAATCAAGAGAAAAAGCATAAACACTTTTCTGCGGTTATGACCGTTTTTAAAAGCAAACAAACCATGAAGGAAGCCGAGTTTAAAGCTAAATAAATGATAGCATCATACTAAACTGTTTAAAACGCCGCGTTAACTGATCGATAGTGCACGAAGAACAAGCAAATCCTTACAGTCATAAAATCAGTTAATAGCTAAAAGACTAAGGCTTGGAATTTTTTTGGTGCTTAAACCTACGAAGGAATGCAGACTAACAGATCTCTAGGTAGGGCTAAGAAGAAAAAAATTAGACGAAGATAAGGTTTTTTTTCTTTTAAGCTTCTTAGCAATTCTAAGTGATTCAAGTTTAACTTTTTTTTTGTTTTGGTAAAAGTTCTTGTAGCTGGTTTCGTAGTTGTGCAAAAGTTGAACGCCTTCAGACGACGCCGTGTACAGGCTATGGAAATGAATTACAAGCAGCGAACGACAGAGAGAGAGAGAGAGAGAGCAGACGACCCGCCGTTCGTTCGTTGCTGGGCGTTCGATGCCGGGCTATAAATAGCCAAGGCGAAGGAATGCAGATTAATAAGAATGCACCACAGTCTTGAAAAGTAACTACTAAACTTATTGCAGAAATGGTTGTATTCTTTTGGTAGGTAATAAAAATGTGTGGAAATTGTGTGATTATGAGTGTTAATGAAAAAATCCAGATGCAAGAAGCAAAGTTATGATTGTAACTGTGTTAAATTAAAACCAATTTTTTGTTTTCCATCATGTTTAATTAATTTATATGTTAAGTATTTCGATTACACTATCGAAATTATTTTTATCTTCCTTTCCAGCCGGGAGACAAGATTTTTTTATTATGTTGAGATGTGAAATGCTAGCCAAAAAAAACATTAAAAATTTAAAATGGTGGAGGCAAAATTATTTTCAAAATTCTATCCCGAGGTCGCCCGTCCAAAAATAAATACCGTGTCGTCTCAAAAAAAAACAGGGCGACAAACATGTTAAGGCGCATTTGAGACACGCCCAAATTTTTTCACGAAAATCAAATTCAATAACGCTTCATTGATTGTAATAATATTAACCACCGGATCAAGATAGAAAATAACGTGATTAAAAAAGAGCGATCTGAAGAACCTGAACCCGAATAAAGAAAAAAAAGGGAAAGCCAAAAAGCAAAAAAATTTCAAAGTAATGGCAATTAAAATTAAAAACTAGAATTAAACCAATTTCCTGTTAAATTTTTTTTAATGATCTTATTATCAGTTAGTAGAGAGTTTAGAACAAAAATAAAATCAAAGAAAAAATCTGCAACGAAAATCAAATAATTGCATTGAGGATATTAAAACTTAAAGTAAATTAAAAAATATGTATAAATTAAATAAAAATTCATACGACACCGAACAACACTGATAATATGGAAACTACCCTCTGATTGTTTTTTCTGGACCGTGCGTTCACTAGATAGTTGATAATGGCAGCTACTACGATCGCGGTTAAAATGGTAGCAATGATAGCAGTGCAATACACGTTGTCGCAACCGGACCACTCTGTGACGATGTTGTTGTTCGTTACCTGATCCATCTCTTCTTCTGCTTCTTCTTCTTGCCTAATGCGGACTGCGAGAGAGAGTGGTGAACCGAATGGAACGACGACGTGAACTACTTGTGGCCAAAATCGGAAACTGAGTCTTTATATATCACTGAGGAGGAGTCGTCGTCGGCTCTACGCAAAGTTCGCTCAACGATGGGTGGCTCGCTCTCCCTTGGGGTTGGGTTGCCGGGCTAGGTGCTGCTGCTGAGAAATAGTCGGCCGAAAGTAGTAGGGGGGGGCACTTGATACTTTTCTTTGAATCGAAAGCTTGCAACGTCTGTACGTAGACTGAGAGTGGCTCAAAGTGCGCGCTCGTATTTATATAGGCAGGCTACCAGCAATTCTCTTATAGCCACCACAACCCGAAGCCCCTACGCGCCTTTAAAACGAGATAGGCCTATCGTAAACTTGACGACTGCGCAAAACAATATTTGACTCAAAAGCCTTAAGTCTCTTACTTACGAGAAAAATTTCATTAAATTACTAAAGAAAAGATTTTTTAATAGCGTTTGAATATATTTTTGAGTTATTTATTAGGAAAGATGGGTAATAAAAATGATCTTGGATTCTAACTTTAGATACGGTACCAGAAGAATCCTGCTAAATATAGCAACAGTAGACGCCCGAGGCGGCGACGACGACGACGCTGAGTTCTGGGAGCTACGGCCTGTACCCTTCTGGTGGGTCGTGGGTCTAAAATAAAGGTTAAGGCTACTAAATCCGGATTGATTTGCGACGCTGAATGATCGATTTTAACGGTTTCGATTCATGTTTGCCGAACATTTCCAATTTGGTTTTTGTGTTAATGTTTATAGTGGCTGGTTTAATGCTTAACTACAAGTATCATACAAAAGTATGTTTAATCATAACTAAAATTGTACCTTAGTTTTAATTTAAGTTTAAAATGATTTGCAAACATAACAATATTAAAAATTCATCATCAAAAATTCCAAACGTAGGTATTACGACTAAACTTGTCGAGTCCTTGGGTCACAACTGTAAACACAAAAGCTATTTTTTCATCTTTTGGCTAAGCTTTTAAACCAGCTGAGAGAAGTTTTGACATCATATTCAAGGAGCCAATTTTCATACAGATACATTAAGTGATTTACTAAAAAACAGTTCTGCTATTTATACTTTGTAACTATTTTTGAAATGGTTAGTTCTTGGGGATTTTCAGTTTTTCCAAATTAGGAAGTATTGACATTTACATTTAATAAGTTGTAACAATTTGTATGTTTCATATGCGCCCACTCACAAAATCCTATCTTATTCACCTAACCATACCTTATGATTCATAAATAATGTTACCATGCTTTCGCCAAACCTATTTTAACACCATTCGAATACATTGTTGTCTTTCAGATTGTTACTATATGTTCGACAGACATTTATTAATTTTTGTTTCCTTCATAAAGATAAGAGAAGTATGCATATTTATTTTTCGACCTTTTTCTACGCTTCACTTAACGTCTTCATCAGAAGGTAGTTCAACCGAATCCATATTGTTGGGCGCAAATTTTATTGAGCATTGTTTGCGACCATTTCTATCGTCGTCGCCCAGAGATTTCTAATACCGCTGCTGCCACCGTCCCCGTTCGTTCGCTATCGTAAATTTTACGCATTCATTGTGTTCTGACCGTTCTCGTATATGCACTCCACGGGCACGGGGGTAAAATGTCAATTAACCGTTCGTTGGCTTTGTTTATCAATGTCGTTATGCGACTTAATCCCACGTTTCTGGCACCATTGTTGTATTAACAACATGTCAAAACCTATACTATAGCAAAACGCGGAAAGCAAATACGGTTAACAGATGTTGAACTCTAACAGAAAAGAAACTTGAAAAGATAAAAATGTCGCCGCCTATGCGTATATTTAGTTTTTTTTCTTGATATGACACAGGAAGCAGTCAGTGGGCGGAAAAATACAAAAGAAATATTACGTTATGATGTATAATTTAGAATAGGAAATTGAAACACACGAAATATAAACGAAAGCTAAACGAATCGAGCCAAGTTCATTGCCAAAACGAAAAGTGTTGCTGTTAGTCCGAAAATATGTTGGTCCAGCGTGTATTGGACTTTGTACGCACGCACAGACACACACGTCTGACTTCTCCCGGAGAGAAGTAATTCGGGAGGCGACGGCGACGAACAGCAATAGTTGGATGCTATGAAGCTGATCTAAGAGCAAATTTCTGTTGCTCTATTTCCGCCATTTACAATTTTAGAGCGGCCGCAAATAGAAGCCGGTGATTACCAGAGTGCATCGACGCCTAACAACATCCACCCAACACAAAACGTTCGTCGCTGAACTTGACCACTGTGCGGTGGAGTTAGCTATTTCATGTCTTCTTCTTCTGCTGCCTTCATCTTACGGTGGTTACCAACACCTGTCTTCATATATCAAATTCTCGTATATATAATACACGATGAACTCTTTACATCAAACAAAATGAGAGATAATTAAAGAACAGAGGAAGATTTATTGATACGAAAGCTCTTAAAATATCCTATACAATTTAACTTACACAATAATTAAAATTCTTAAAATATAAACAACAAATGTTATAGACCGTTTCAGATCTTTTCCTAGCGATTAAAACAGAGTGAGGGTTGCATAGAAGATGTAGTTGAAGATATTGTATGAAGAATTGCTTTTCAGAAGTAACCGAAGTAAGTTCAACCAACTCAACCCAACCCATTAAGCAAAGATCTAAAGAACTTATCAGAAACTGTATACTTCTTCGAGGTAGACACACACAAAACTGGTGATTACTACGGCTTTATTCATGAGAATGAAACATCTAGTGGTGCTTGCAAATTGCAGGTAATGATACATTGTTATCATACGTTCGACCCATTCATTCTGAATAAGCGCTTCGAGTTCCGATTCGTATAATTGGAGACCGGTTGATACATATTTATTTAAAACCGTGAAGAAGTCGTTGTGTTACGAATCTTGTCAAGTTATCTTAAGAGTCGTTTAATTTGTGGTGGAAAGATGAAAATGATTAATGGACTAGCCAGGTATAATTAGTTGCTGTTTTGTGGTTTTAGAAAAAAAATCGCAGTTAATTATATTGGTAATTTTCTTTAAACGTCCGTACTTCATTAACGGAAATGAAAATAGAAACACTTGAGGATGCTACGAGTGGTTTAAC